AGGGAAGGGGAGATATTTTGGGGGAATGCAAAGTGGTGCTGGACGCTGCGAGGATTTCACCCCCAACTGGCGCCAAGGGCTCTTAGACATGTGCTCCTTGAGAAACACAAAAAAGCCATGTTGGAGGAGCTAATCGCGTTAGATGTTCCGCTCCTATCTTGCTTACAAGATCGCGACGGCCAAAGCCGGCCTCTCCTTCCTCCCTCCCCAAACGACTTGCCTGTCTCCCAAAAACAACACAATCCCTTTTATCTTTCTTCCCTCTCGCAGGAAATGTGAGCGGGAGGGGTTTTTAAAAAGATCAGGCCGCTCCGATCCACAAATTCCATTGACCCCTTTTAACCATCACCATTCCCTGGGCGTAATTCTTAGATCACCTTTCCCACACAACAAATATGCCTAATATATATATGTGTGTGTGTTTCATAAGCTCAGGCTGTCATTCATACGCCCACACCGACAATGACCCACAAACGCGTGTACTTTCCCCTTAACTCAGCCTGTTCTGCTGCCACTTTCTCCTCCATCTGCTAAGAGGAGCTATTCCTACCCATCTACAAGTAGGAAAACATAGTCAGGTAAAGGTAAATAATATATAGCCAATCGCTAATCCAAAAGTATTTTACAACCCTGTCCTCTATTAAATTTTGGGCGCATCCACGAAAGCTTCCTCACGGGTGATCACGTCTATCTGTACCTCCCCCACTCTTAGAAAAGCGCCTTATACTTCGACAAGTCTGTCTGCACTTCAGTGTTGTCTGCACTGGCAGCGGCCCCCTTCAGGATTTCAGGCATGGGTCTCTACCAGGGGGGTGGAACCTGGGGGCTTCTGCACGCAGAGCAGATGCTCTACCACGAATACAGCGCTTCCCCTATCATGGGAGGCTTCCTTATCCGTAGTTAGAGCCTTTGGTCCATTTAGCTTAGTATTGTCTACACTGACCGGCAGCGGCCCTCCAGGTTTTCAGGCAGGGATCTCTCCCGGCTGTACCTGGAGGTGCGGAGTTTGAAACTGGCATCTTCCTCAGCAAAGCAGGTGTTCCAACAATCGCCCTTTCCTCATGTCCACAGATTTTCAGCTTTGGGACCCCTCGTCTTTTTCTTCCTTCGCTTCCTTGTTCTTCCTCCTACTTCCCATTCCCCCTTTCTCGTCAGTTGTGTATATTCGTCACATTTGCACCCCGCCTTTACTCTCCAAGGAGCTCAAGGCGGCGCGCGTGGATCTCCCTCTCTTCTCATTTTCATCCTCAAAACAACCCTGCGCCATAGGTTACTTGAGAGAAAGCGACTGGCCCCCGACACACGCAGCTAAGCTTCGTGGCCCGCTGGAGGTTTGAACTCCGATTGACACCCCACCCCCCTCCAGATCCTAGCTGGCGGTCCTAACTTATGAATCCTAGAAATTGTAGAGTTGGAAGGGAACCTGCGGGGTCATCTAGTCCAACCCCCTGCAATGCAGGAATCACAACTAAAGAATCCATGACAGACGGCCATCCAACCTCTGCTTAAAAACCTCTAAAGAAGGAGAGTCCACAATCACACAATGACTCTCTGTCTCTATCCCACTGATCAACCGCCTATATTCTCAGCGATTTTTTCGCACCTCTCCCACGTGCACTAGTGAACATATAAGGCAGATCCACGCAGGGCATTTAAGGTACACCCAACGCACATTTTAAAGCACACGACTTCCCCCAAAGGATCTTGGGAACTGTAGTTTCTCTCTCGCAGAGCGACACTTCTTGACACCCTTGGCAAACTACAGTTCCCATGATGGGGAGGGGACGGTTCACGTCCTTTAAATGTGCATTGGCTGTGCTTCAGAGGTCTGCCCCGGACGTCACACACTGCACAAACGCCCCTCTACAACTAAACCCCCCCCAAAAACGCCCTCCCCCGAGCCCCCCGAGCCCCATAGGCTGGCGTCTAACTTGTAGCACCCCAACCCGAGGAAGCCGAAGCGTATCCGCAGAGCGCCCCTGGCAGCCTGCGCGCCCAAAGCCTCTCGCCCGTGTCCCTTCCGCCTTTTCCCCTAACCACACACGCCTTCCTGTGAACTGCCAACATTCAGGCTCGTCCGACCGGCTCCCAAAGCTAGCCCGGCAGAGACACAGAGAGAGAAAGAACCACGGAAAACTAGAGGAAGTAGGCGGTGGGGTAGAGATCTCCAGGAGGAGCGTCTGGGTCTGGGTCCCTCCTCCCCCACCAATAACCACACCGGGGGACCACTGTCCTTTGCGCTTCCGGTCGGAGCCCCCAATCCCTCCTTTCAGCCCAAAGCTCATCCACCCACCATTCAAAAATCCGAGCGCCCCCTAACTTTCAGGGAGAACCAGAAGTGATGTAGTGGTTAGAGTGGCGGACCTGAGAGACAAGGGTTCAAATCCCCGCTGGACCGTGACCGTGGGCTAGTCACTTCCTCTCTCAGCCTAACCTCCCTCACGGGGTTGTTGTGGGGATTAAATGAGGAAAGAGAGAAGAAGCAGGTATCTGGAGCTCTCTGGAGGAAAGCGGGGTGGGGGTGGGGATACAAATGCAGTAAGTGAAATAAGAATAAACTGCCACACACACACCCAGCACACACATACACCTAGACTAGAGGGGGGCTGAGCCGGGATGAAAAGTAACTCATTCCGCGCCAGTATGTCGCTCAACCGCTCTTGGAGGAAGACGAAAATTATTATTATTAATTATTATTATTATTATTATTATTATTATTATTATTATTATTATTATTATGTTGAATCTATGTTAGTCTTCCTCAGAGTAGACCCACAAAGAGGCATGGGTAATTTAGCCCTGTTCAATTCAATGGGTTTACTTTGAGTAAACGTTACTTGGATACAAACTGACGGCGGCGACGATGCACATGGGACAAAACGGTTTCTCGTCTTCCAACCCTCTGTCCGCCTCTCTTTCCTTCCTCTACCCCACGTCCTTCCTCCTCTTAAACACACAAAGTCTGGCCGTTTCAGACACTGGGATTTCACAGTTTGCTTTTCGGATGCGCTTATCAAACAAATGCGGGGGAGGGGGGAGGTGGAGAGAGGCGAGAAGGTGGCACTTCTGATCCCAGAGACTATTGAAATAAATAAATAAACGAAACCAAAGGAAAATAAATATATTGTATTGTGTGAGGCGAAGGAACGAGACGGGCAGGCCCCAAGCTAGTCGTAAATGCGATCCCGGAGGGAGATAGTCCGAAGCTACCCAACCCTTCACCCAGGGAGCGCCCCTCAGCAATTTCTTCCCCCAGGACCAAAAGGCGACAAGATCAGGGAGAGATAGACAGTTCTGCGGGTGAAGCGTATCCTGGAGGCGAGAGGCAGAGAGACCCCTCGAATCCAGAAGCCCATCTATCAAACCTGTTCCTCTATTCTATTCTATTCTATTCTATTCTATTCTATTCTATTCTATTCTATTCTATTCTATTCTATTCTTTTCTTTTCTTTTCTTTTCTTTTCAAAAGTGATCAAAACCGTAACTGGGGGTGTGGATTATAGCAAATGTCAGCCGAGGCGTCATGAAAGCCTCGGTCGCTATCTAAGCTACGAACGCCGCTTTCTATCGCTCGCCTGTAGCGCAACAGAGGCGCGCAGACACGACCCGTCCTTCTGCCTGTTTCAGAGGAACCCTGAATACGGCTGCGACAGGATGAACGCGTTCAAAGCGCGTCTCTCTCTCTCTCTCCAACCTCCCCCCCCCCCCCGTTTTAAAAGAAGCTCATCCTCGGTGCTCGCGCCCCATCCCATCTTAAAGGGACACCCACCTTGGGTTTCAACTGGAAACAAGAGGCAAAATTTAAAAGAAGCAAGCCAAAATACTCACGGTGGGCAGAGAGTAACACGTGTGTATGTGTGCACGCGTGTATATTCCTGCTTCGACAATCCCATCCGGCGGGGGGCGGGGGCGGGCGGAGAGGAGCTCGCTCGCGTGCGCGCCAACACGTGTACCCGGGCGTGGGGTGGGGGTTAGGGACCCATGAGGGCCAGCGGGCATCCAAACCACTCAAACCCTTATAGGCAGTGGGAAAGAAATGAGATCGGAACGTTTGTTGGTGGTAATAGGGGGGGCGGGAGACGGTGGTTGAGCTTAGGCACGCGTGAGTGGGACGGGGGGGGGGCTGAGAGAGAATCAGCCCAGCCTTCCCCTCCTCCTTCTCCCACACCACCCACTTGAACCTCCTAGATCTCAAACCCAGCCTAGGCGCGGATCTTCCCCAGTGGAAGGGAAAGGAGGCGATGAAATGGAAAGCCTCGCCGAGAAAAGTTGATGATAAGTCCAAATTGAAAATGTCCCAAAGCTTGGTCAAGCCAGAGAGAGAGAGAGAGAGAGAGAGAGAGAGAGAGAGAGAGAGATTTCCCCACCCCCACCCCTCTTGGTTTTCTGGCTGCGGCGCTGTGGGCCAACTCGCCTCTCCGAAGCCCCCTAGAGGCCAGACGCGTACACACACTCTCGCCTTTCCCTGTCTCTCGCTTGCTTTCTCCCAATGGCTGCTCTCAGCTCTCTCTCTCTCTCTCCTCCTTCCTTCCCTCCGTCCCTCCCTCCCTCCCTCGCTCGCTCCCCACCCCTCCTTCCCGCCCGCCCGCCCTCCTCTGATCATGTTGACATATTCGCACGGCACGGAGCGGTGGGGATGCTTTGCTGCAGCGTTACAATTTCCGACACCTTCTTTTTATAACTCGCCTCGGTCCCCCTCCGCTCGACCTGTCAAAACCACGCCTATGGAGCCACACAATTGGTCCGAAAGCGTCAAAGAGCCAATCAAGTATGCGGCAGCTGCCCTGCAACGCCGCACAACACAGCCATTCCATCCCGGCGCAGCCGAGCGCGCTGGCTCAGACACACACGCACTCACACCGGGGATTCTTGGAGCCCAGCGCCGCTTTCGCTCGCTCGCTCTCTCCCTCCGCGGCTCCTTCTCTCGCGCTCGCTCGCTCTCCCACTCGCTCTCAACACCCCCCTCCTCTCTCTCTCACACACATACATACCCGTCTCTCTCTCTCTCTCTCTCTCTCTCTCTCTCTCTCTCTCTCTCTCTCTCTCTTTTCTCTCTGTCTGCTATTCCTTGCAGGAACTTGCAGGGGTTGGGAGGGCGTAGAAGAGCGATCAAGGATCCCCAGTTTTGCAAATCGCTATCGTTAAGGCTTTTTTGAAATTTATTTTTAAAAAAAATATTGAAAGAGGACAGGGGGAAAGAAGGGAGGAGAGATCCGAGGAGGAACGACGGAGACGGGCGGCGGATATTTTTTTCTTTTCTGGAATCCAAACTTTGGCAACGGCGAGCCGCGTGGGGGGAGGGGAAAACGGAAGCTGCATTCTCTCTCTCTCTCTCTCTCTCTCTCTCTCTCTCTCTCTCTCTCTCTCTCTCTCTCTCTCTCTCTCCAACTTTTAGCGCTGCGAGGAGCCTGATTAGAAACAAGAGGCTTCCCCCCCGATTCACAATTTCTCCTCTCCCTCTCATTCACGCGCACACAAACACACTCCACCTTTACAGAAGCTTTCGGCGGGGCGTTGAATATAAGGAGGGGGGAAGCATAAGAAAGAGCGGAAGGGAAAAAAACCTTCCGATCTCCACGTTTGCAAGAGACCCACCAGAGAAAGAAGGTGACTTCTTCTTTTTCGAGGCGTTCCTTTTCCCTGCACGACCGAACCCTCCTTTCCTCCGTCGCCTTCCCCAGAAGTAGCGGCGAAATCTGGCCGAAGTCCTTGCTGCTGCTGCTTTCTCCACCGCCACCCCTTCCTCTTTCGAAACCGACCATTCTTAACATTATAATTCAATCCTTGTGAAAAAGCTATCGCTGAGGAGGAGGAGGAGGAAGAAGAGGAGGAGGAGGAGAAGGAGCTTCCCAGCCAGGCGCAAAGACACCCTGGCGGGTTCCGGGTGACAAGATGCCTCCTGCTTTCGACTCGGGCGCTGGGACTCTCTGGTGACTCGCCTATGTCACTCTCCGGCACCCGCCGCCCTGGTCGCTCGCCTCCTCTTCGGACGGCCCTCTCGCCTTCCTCTCTCTCTCCTCCTCCTCCTCCTCTTCCTCCCTTTCCCTCCTTCTCTCCTTCTTCTGGGAATCGTGGCCCGACGATGAGCTCGTAAGGGCCGCGCGCTCCAGGATCCAGGACTGCGTCCGGGCAGGCCGCTGGGAGCGAGGCAAGCTGTTGGATGAATCTCTCCATGAGAGAGCCCGTGATTCCTGGGACCAGCATGGCTTACCACCCCTTCCTACCTCACCGGGCGCCGGACTTCGCCATGAGCGCCGTCTTGGGTCACCAGCCGCCTTTCTTCCCGGCTCTGGCGTTGCCCCCCAACGGGGCCGCCGCCCTCTCTCTGCCGGGGGCTCTGGCCAAGCCCATCATGGATCAGTTAGTCGGGGCGACGGACTCCGGGATGCCTTTCTCGTCTCTGGGACACCAAGCCGCGGCTCACCTGAGGCCTTTGAAAACCTTGGAGCCGGAGGAAGAGGTGGAGGACGACCCCAAAGTCCACCTGGAAGCCAAGGAACTCTGGGATCAGTTCCACAAGCGGGGCACCGAGATGGTAATCACAAAGTCAGGAAGGTAAGGGAGATTTGCTCCTGGGCTATGGGAAACGATTGGGGGGGGGTCTTCTCCGTCTCGCCTCCCCCACCTCCGCACACACCCGCCAACCCATTTCTCTCAAGCTGATTTCCAAGCAAACCAATCGTTTCCACTTGCAAACAAGAAAATAAAAAGCTTAATATGGAATTAGGAAAATATCCAGAAAGCGACAGCTGACCGTGTGTGCTTGCAAAAGCCTTCACTCAACCTCTGAAGGACAATGGGAATACTGTGTGTGCACAATCTATGCAATGAATATAGCGATAGATAGATGCATAGATAGATGATAGATACACAGACAGACAGATATCTGCATCCAGGAATCGTGCACCCGCGCGCAACACTTTATTTATGCACACCAAAGAGAGAACTGACCGCAGTGTTCGTGGGATATGTGCAATCATATAAAACTGGGCAGAATTTTGCACCGGGAATTTTTTAAATAAAAAATGCAATAGCTCCCTTCGTGGCTTTGTTATGTCTGTAATTTCCTGCACTTTTTGCTGGGCAGCCAGGCCCGTTGGAATGAATGGGGCTTACTTCCAGGCAAAAACATACCCAGACGTAAAAGCAGGCTTTATCCTGCTCAGACTTTCTTTAGCAGTTAAGTCTTTCCACGCTCGAAGCAGATCCAGCCTAGTTACTTCCAAGCAAAGCTATACGGAGGTGGAACTCTTCGACTGGAATTTTAAAAGCACATTTGAACCCTCACCCCCGAAAATAACATTGCTGTTCTGTAAATGTGGATATTTTGAACTCAGGATTTCAACTGCTAGAGAAATCCAGGTGTAGGGCCCGAAATTTGTGGAGCAAGTGAAAATATTCTAGCACTGGACTTGATAATAAAACAGAGCGTTTGGAATGAAGGGCTTCCTTACCCCGTAAAAAGTTTGTAAGCTGTACTTAAAACTTATTTAAGAGCTATATGGCAGATTATGTCCGCTCACAAATTACGAATAGTCGTAATTTCTACAGAAACAATTGCCATTATTTCATTCCAACGCAGAAAGTGAAAATATAACCCTGATGCAGATTCCTCAGGTTCACATTTACGTTGCCAGGTTCATTTTAAACTTCTTTTAAAAAAAATAATCAAGTCCCCAAGACGGCTGAAAAAAAGTAAGGAGACTTTGGATCTGTGGCCAAAGTTTTCCCCCCAAGAAGGCTTATCTACTGTTTGCTTTCTTATTTGGGCAGCTACTTTGTAAGGAGGCTTTGCAGACTTCAACAACTCGCTACAACAAAATCACACGCCTTTGCCATTTGGAAATCAACTTAAGGATTTGGGGAAGGGGTGGCAACCATCTTCCAAGCTCTCCAATATCGTTGGCCTTGGACTATTGTTGCACGCTAAATACTACGGATCTGCGTCTCCCTCCATGCCCAAACCAAAGGAGATTATTTTGCGATTATTATTTAAAAAAAAAAAAAGAATTAAAATGGAATATTCACAAAGGATTCCTATTATCATTTTTATTTTGCACAATAGCAACCAGTCGAGAGAATCTGAGAGTATAGTTCCTTGCTAAGGTTGGGGGTGGGTGGGGATACTTTTGCACAAGAATATGCGGCTGAGTGATACGCTAAGACGATTCTATCTTTTTAAAAAATATATATTTGTATATTTTACTATAAGTAAAATCTTCGCCTTCTTTGTTTTGTGCCCTGTCTGTCTCTGTCTCTAGGAGAATGTTTCCACCCTTTAAAGTGAGGTGTACTGGCCTGGATAAGAAGGCCAAATATATTTTGTTGATGGACATAGTGGCGGCTGACGATTGTAGATATAAATTCCACAATTCCCGGTGGATGGTGGCCGGGAAAGCCGACCCTGAAATGCCAAAGAGAATGTATATCCATCCAGATAGCCCGGCGACCGGAGAACAGTGGATGTCTAAAGTCGTGACTTTCCACAAACTTAAACTGACTAATAACATTTCAGACAAACACGGATTTGTGAGTGATTTTTAATTTTCCTCCCTGTAACGTAGCGTCCTGGTTCTTTAAACGCCGCCCCCGCTTACAAACACCACGCGTTTAAAACAAAGCAAAACATATATTTGCAAGGTGGAGAGATCAGCTTAGATCGACCCTCGGTCACGCTGCAGGGATTGGTGGGTTTGAAGCCTATTCGCTAAAAAAGCTTTGCAGAGGCCCAAAGAGACTGACGTTTGATTTCGATCCCTTCCAGATTTCTAAAGGAGGGGAGGGGGGCGAGAAATGACTTCATATTCGGGCACTTTGGTCGATCTGCTTATAATAATATCATAATTGGTTTCTGTGTGCATGTGTTTCAGGGAGGGAAAGCGGGGAGGCATCGCAGGATGAGGGTAATCGTTCCCTTTCCAATGTTATAAATCTAATTAGGAAACTTCCGGGGCAAAAATAAATAAATCCTGCACCCTTGCTCCGATTCAGCTCTAAATGGGCAGGATCCGAACTCTAGTTAAATCGCAGGGAGGGAGAGTAGGAAAGAAAGCAGCTTAACTCCAGCAAATCTGGGGTTTGTTTTATAACTTTTCTAGGGCAAAACTGATTTAAGAGCCAGCCAGTTGCAGAATTGGTGTGGGGGGGGAGGACACAGGGTGCAGATAAAAAATAGGGAGGTGGAGGAGAGAAGAGGAAAAAGGGATGACAGGAAATAAATACACCTCCCCACCACCAAAAAAAACCCACCCCAAACCACTCAAATTAAAATAAATTTCCTTGGGGTTCCAGCCGGATTTTATCCCTCTCCTAACCGACTTAGACCCATGTTTAAGCTCGGGTCGCTTTACAGTACTGTATTATTATTATTTCCTTTCCTCTATTCACATCCCTGTCTGTGTACAGATAGGAAAGTGAACTTTCGGGCAAGGCAGCTCCTCCAGCGAAGTGCAGAAAATGAGGTCATTCCTTCTGGCGAGGTTTTCTTGGGAAGGAAAAAGGAAGAAACGGGGAGATCCTCGTTTCAGCTTGGCTGGCCTTGGCTGATCTTCCTGAAAAGCCTCAGCTCTCTCTCTCCCCCCCGCCCCTTGGCCCGCTTGGAGCTCGCTCAGAAAACCACTCCGCTCCCTCGCGCTTCCTTTACATCTCCACGCCAGTCAACTAATGACCTGGGCTTAGCTCTCTCTCCTACTGGGTTGGAAGACAATTATTATGATTGGTAGTATTATTTTAAAGCAAAATATTTCCAAGCAACGGTGGTTCTAGATGTGCAGAAGAAGGGAGGGAAGAAAGAAAGAAAGAAAGAAAGAAAGAAAGAAAGAAAGAGGGCGGCTAGGATTTGAAGGCCTAAATTCAGGCTTTGCTGATGTTCCTCCTTTCGTTTTGACTGAGTCTGGATGTTCCTGCTTGTCTGTCTGTCTCTGACCCGCCCCCCCCGTCTCCCGCACCCGCAGACCATATTGAACTCCATGCACAAGTACCAGCCTCGGTTCCACATCGTCCGGGCCAATGATATTCTGAAACTGCCTTACAGCACCTTCCGCACTTACGTTTTCCCCGAGACAGAATTCATTGCGGTGACTGCGTATCAGAACGATAAGGTAAGAAAGAGTCGCTGTGGAATGCATTTAAGGGAATGAGGTGGAGCGGTGGGTAGGGGGTGGCGAGAGAGATGGGTGATCTTGAGCCTCTGATCGTGATCTGATTTTGCATTAAAAATGGGCCTTGTCTCCTAGCGCCCCCCCCCCCAAATTTATCACTTCGGCCACTTCAGAAAGAAAGTTAAAAGAAGGAATTAAAATTGTTCTAATTTTCGGTATTCAGTGTATTCAGAGAAAACTAGTAAGAGGTGGTGGAGAGAAAAATAGATGTGTTTGTAGTGTGAGAGAAAGAGAGAGCGCTTTAAAAAGAGATCAGACTTTCTCTTTCGGTGTGCAAATGTGATTTTCGAGGAAACAGAACCCTAATCAGAGCATACATTAGTTTACTTAAAAATACAACAACGGCAGGGGCAACCAGGCCCCCAAATGTAGGTCTGGTTCATATTATCCACCCCCCCCACACACACTTTATACTGCAGTGTTTTTATTAATAGTTTTGGAGTAGGGTTGGTTTTTTTAAGGGGCAGGGGAAAGAAATATGCTTTTAGCACCTAGCAGCGTTTAATAGGAAGGACATGGCCCATTCTGATTTGAGGATGGGGTGAGGAGAGAGGTGTAGTTGTTAAAGATACCCTATCCTCAATTATCACCAGGACTCCTGTTTGCTGGAGGCCGCCTTGCCCACCAAAGTGGTCTAACTGGGAGCTTGGCGCGGTCTAAATTTATGGTAATGAATTCAAGGCGAAGGACCCGGGAGACTTCGACTAGCCAGCCTTAGTTTCATTTACAGCGAGGGGGAAAAAAATGAAATTAGTACTTTTGGTATTTGGATTCCCAAACTCGAGTGCGGTGGTTTATGGAGCTTTGGCAGCGCTGCAAGATGGAAACCCCAGTGTGTACTTTGAAAGTGTCTGTGTGTGTGTGTGTGTGTGTGTGTGTGCGCGCGCGCGCGCGCTTAATTCTCCTGGCGGAGCTCCTTGGACAGTTTAGCTCTCCTGAAATCAATGTGGCTCGTGCCTGAACTCAGGATCGCGGTGGAAGTTGGCAGGATATGGTGTTGGACGAAAGCGTGTGCTTTGGAGATAGGAGGGAGAGGGATCTGATGCCGTGTTTCTGCTCCTGTTGGGAAATCTAGGCTTGGCTTGAGGAGGCCCCACGAAGAAGTCAAACCTGCTAGGGACTAGCCGCTTAACAGAACTTTTGTTTGATACGATCTCCGAGGTGTGTTGGGGAGGGAGAGACAAAGGAGGCTCGCTCTCCTCCGGGGCGAGCGGATCTCGCTTGACTGAATTAGCCCCGTGCTCGGCCCGCGGAAGCCTTTCTCGTCCCCATCCTAGCGAGAAGCCCCTTATCCGACTGCCCTGCAATGGCGTGTGAAAGCGGTGTTGTAATGGAGCCAAAGGCCCCCTCTTTCCTGGCGTTATCTCGAGCGATCTCTCGCAAGAGGTCAGAGAACCCGCATTCCAGCGCTCACCTAGGCGGCCCCCGTCGCCTTCATTAAGCACTTTCTGAGCAATTGGAAAGTAATGGATTGACTCCCTGACATGGGTCCTTTTCTTGCGTTTTGCTCCTGTTTTTTAATCGCTAGGGGAACAGATCCCAGGGCCTGGCCAAAGGAGTCAGGGGAGGTGTGTGTGAAATCTCTCTCTCTCTCTCTCTCTCTCTCTCTCTCTCTGTGTGTGTGTGTGTGTGTGTGAGAGAGAGAGAGAGAGAGAAAGAAAGAGAGAAAGAAAGAAAGAAAAGAAGAAAGAAAGAAAGAAAGAGAGAGAGAGAGAGAGACAGGAGGGACAGTGAGTTTCACATTACACATATGTAATATTTTATATTATGTTATGTTATTATATAGCATATAATATTGTATACATATGACATGCACTGTGGCTGTATTCAACCCCTCTCGCCCCCCATCTCAAAAGGTCTTTGCACTTCTGTAGAAAATTGATAAGGCGAAGGAATCCTACATATGTTTAATCCTTAGCATGTCCCGCTGTGCTCAGTGGGTATCCCTTCAAACTAAGGGATTGTAGCCTAAACTTAGAAAGGGGAGAGCGTGAGATCAAAACTTTTGGGCTCATCTTCCCACCCAAAGGGACAGCCCAGTATCTCCTGCTTTAAAAGAGGTGGCAGCAAAGATTTCAAAAATTAAGCAGGTGCCGAACTTTGTGCACCCAGTGATTTCTTTGAAAAACGAAAGCCCTGGACATGGGCCGGATCCTTGAAGGGAGAAAAAGGCATTGCAGTCTTGAAAAGGAAAGGAAAAAGCAACAACGTGCAGATGTTGTTGATTTCCTCCCACCCATCCTTTTTAAGAGTTTGCAGAGGTGAGGGGGAGCAACATGCCTGTAATATGTTTGCATAGTATTTATTCAGAGCTCGGCCCCCCTCCTCAACCTCCAGCACTGCGTGCACGCACGCACACACGCGCACACACATAAGCACGTGGCCCGTGGACGGTAATTACATAAAGTATTTTATTATAGCAAGCGGGTGACCACCATTCCTTTGCGGTTTAATTATGGCAGGTAAAGAGTTGAAACTGAAACATAACTTTAATGGATAGCCAGGGCAGCACGTTCCACTCATTCCTCCGCCAGGGTTCCCCCCTCAACACACACACTCACACTAAGGCTGAGGCAACCAGCCGCTGCAATTGGACTGGCAGAGGTGCATGAAAATGGTCTTTCATGCTGCCTTGTAGGGGGGGGACAGCCCTAGGATCCTGGGCTCTTGATTGTAACAATGTCACATGGTTCAGTTTGTGGGTCTTCTGCTAAGGGTGTTGCTTGGGGCTTTTGGAAAGAAACTTTGAGGCATAGTTTGGGATGAAAGCTGTCTAGGCCCCCCTACATTATTCCCCTTGCTTTGAGTAAGGGCATGCACAGGTGAAATACCCCACCTGGGTTGGACTATGAAATCAGAGGTTCAATAGGCTGGAACATAACCTTTATTTTCTGTGCTTCGATCACACCCTTCCTCCATCCAGGGTTTCACCACCTCAGAAAGCTGCCTTATTTATAGAGTCAGGCCGTTGGTCCAGCCACCTCAGTGTTGTCTACACTGACTGGCAGCTGCTCTCCAGGGTTTCTGGCCGGGAGTCCCGGGGATTGAACCTGGGACCTTCTGCATGCAAAGCAGTTGTTCTCCCACTGAACTAACGCATTTCGCTTTGATCCTTGCACACCGAGAACTGGTTACTTACTAACTGAGTTTTCTCCTGGTTTCCAGAGTCAAATATTTAGGACCAGATTTTTTCCCTGCACCTTTTCCAGTGGCCCAACCATTAAACCATGCCCCCCTGAAAATCTGGATCCGTTTGATATTCCGTTCTTACGCATTATTTCATTTCTTTTTTTTCTCCTTTCTTTTTTAATGTAAAAATAGATAACTCAGTTAAAGATCGACAACAACCCGTTTGCCAAAGGCTTTCGAGACACAGGGAATGGGAGACGAGAGAAAAGGTAAGGGGGGGCTGTCGCAGTAGAGTGTGGGGTGTCTGTCCAACTTGCTATTAGCGTGTTCAGTCTGGTTTTGAAATGCTCCTATTGTAGGGTCTGTTCAAGGATCTTTAAAACACACAAGTCTCATTGGGATGAGTGTTGGTGGAGGGAGGGAGGGTTCCTAGGCTTAGTGGAATCTTTTTTTAGAAAGTGATATTTGTAAACGCCCAAAGGTGTGTTCACTGCCACCCAAGGGAGACGTACACAGCTTAGGACACGTGTTTGCCATTGTCGAAATGTGGAACACAAGAGGCTGTGGAGAGGGAGTGGCTGGCAGTAGTTTACCCAAAGCCATATTCTAATGAGACGTTGCACTAACCTGATCCTGCATGCATTTAAATTGAAGTAAGCCTTGAGTTCCTTCCAAGGGGTGTTTTAACAGCAGGTAGTGTCAGTGAAGAGGAAAACAAGCATCTCTTAGCCTTTCTTAGAGTCAGAGGAGCTTTCCTGTGTGTGTTATCTTTGCACAATACACATTCAGGGCAAGGTAATTGGGTGTGGATATTTGTTTTGGAAGGCACTCTTCAAAGGCAAATATTTCTATGTTTTGAGCAATGAGCAAAAAAAGTCAAGTTAAAAAAAAAATAATTCCCCTAAAATCTGCAATGACCCAGCCTGTATTTCGAAGCCCCATTTAAGACCTCCTTATTTAAAATTCCTGCTTTCAATTTTAAAACCAATTGCTTCATTTCAACTTGAAAGGTGCCCAGTATTTAATTTTGATTTTACAGATACTCATACATTTAGGGAGCAGGGAGAGAGCTGGCTCCTGCAAGCATTATTCATAATTCCTCTCTTCAAAATAAAAATAAACTGAACAATAACTTCCTAGTAGCCATTAAAAAGCCAGATATCCCAGGAATAGTCCAGCAACTTTGAACAGCTGATCATTGCTGGACTATGGTTGCCCCAAACTCACCCAACCCAGCTCAACTCTTCATTTAGTCACAGATTTGCTCTGCCTCCACCAATTTTTCACTCTTCCCAAACTCTGAGGAGATCAGCTGTCCCCTATCAGATGTTTAGTTTCTTTAAGCATTTTTGGATTTCTGAGATTACATCTAGACATGAAGAAGAATATTAATATCATATGGAAGTTGTCCTTGCCATGCTCTGATGGCAACTCATTCAAGTTCTTCCCTTCAAAGTTCTACCTAAACATTTCCCCTTGGAAAAAGAATGGTCTTTCCAAAAGAATTGTCTTTGGCTTCCAGAATCACCAGCTCCAAACCCGAAACTTGAAATTCTCTTACTCCTTGAGAAACGCGCCTTCTTTCCACTGAACTAACGCCAAAGGCCCTTTGATCTTCAGAAAGGCCTGTTGACCTTTGGGGGCATCGTCCGAAGTAAATAACACTGTGGTGCACAGAGCCCCTTTCTTAAAGCAGGCTGACTTGCCTAGAAACCCTTTGCGACTCTAGTGCCAGGCCAGTAGGCTGGGCAAGCCTGGCTTCGATGATAAGCATATCCGCAGGGATCGCAACCATATTTATTTATTTTATTTAAAAAATCCTGTTTGATTCCGTTGGACGTCTTTCCTCGTCCATTGGCCTGAATGGGGCACCAGCTGGTTTTTTCTTTTGTAAACAGTCTGTTGCGGTGCCAGCTGATTTGATTTAGAGAGGTATTATGGTCTGGAGCGTGTGGTATGTGTTTGAGAGTTTCCTCCCTTCTCCAGCGACTTTTAAACCAACCAACTTTTCTCCAGGAAGCAACTGACCCTCCAGTCCATGCGAGTCTATGATGAGAGGCAGAAGAAAGAAAATGGGACTTCGGACGAGTCCTCAAGTGAGCAGACAGCTTTCAAATGCTTTGCCCAGTCAACCTCCCCTGCAGTATCCACTGTGGGCACATCTAATCTCAAAGGTGAGGTAGCTCCCTACTTGCCTTTGCCCCTCCCCCCACTCCCTGTGCACCCCCCCATTTTCCCTCCCCCCTCCTTTCTATTTCTGGGTTATTACTATTTCCGGGGGGGGGGGGTTGGTGGGGGGAGGCAGCATTTGAAGGGAGTTTGGCTGAAGATCAGCCTCCGGTTGGAAAGAGGGGGGGAAAGTTTCGAAAAATAAAATAAACCCAATTTTGAAACCGCTCCAGACATTTTTAAATAGGAGGGGGGAAAACACTTTTCTCCTTTCCGCCCTGTATCTATATTTCTTCTGTGGTTTGTACAGAGTCAGCCAACACTGACTAAAGCTTCGGAGCAAAGGCAGACCACGGGGCAAAAGTTCAAAACTGCAACCAGTCCATTCATAACCATATTGGAATTTCTGAATAAGGGGGGGGGGAGTGGCGGAACCCTGCAACCAATCCATTCATGTGCATATTGGAATTTCTTATTAAGGTGGAGGGGAAACCTCCTGCAACCAATCCATTCAAAACCTTACTGGGATTTTGCAACAAGGGAAAAGACAGACAAAAAAAATTTTATCCATTTAAAAAATCAAGAAATTTCCCATGCTTTTGAGGACAACGCTTCGTCAGACTCATTTCATCAGACGCAGTGTGCTGTAGTGGCTAGAGCACTAGACTGGAATCTGGGGTACCAGGGTACTCCTATGCCCCCCCCAGCCAGGAAGCTTGCTGGGTGACCATGGACCAGTCACTTTCTCTCAGCCTAGCCTACCTCACAGGGCTGTTGTGCAGATGAAATGGGGAGGGGGTGAATCGCGTGCGTCACCTTGAGCTGCCTGGAGAAAATGTGGGAAATTAATGTCATAAAGTGTACATGCGTTTCACAAGTCTTTAAGATGCCACAAGGCTCTTTGAAGCTTTGGGTTCAAGATGCTAATATAGCTAGCTCCCTAAAAGATTTTACGAAGAAGCTCACTTTGGCAGGAGGGAGGCACAGCCTGGGTCAAATTATTTCTCCTGTTCTCCCTTCATTCTACAAACCTATGGGCTGTAATGGGAGTTAAGCGGCTTCCAAGGAATCCTACATTTGCATGCGTACATAAAAGTCTTCAAGTTACTTTAGGCGGCCCATCTTACCCCCACTTTGGTGGAAGGAAGCCCCATTGAATTCAATCGGGTTTCCTGAGTCATGTTCTAGATGGTGCGCTGGTCTTCTCAAGCAAGCGTGCATAGGATTGCAGCCTTAAAAATGCATACTTTTGAAAGCCCTGGACTTTGCCATGCTCTTGTCAGGTGGAAAGCACCCTTTTTTTCTTTTTAACCCCCTCATTTGTTACCGAAAAAATTGCTTGAACTTTGGTTTTCTCAGGGGCCTGCCCTGTGAAAGCAGAAAACAAATGGCAGGGGATTTCAAGCTCATGTAAGCAGGCCCTGTGTCTGAGGCTAGAGAGAAGCCAGACCCTAAACGTTTAACTTTCCCTTGCGTTGGGAAGGAGGCGAGATGTTCCAACAGAGCACAGGAGAGGGGAATAAAAACCTGGGAGAAATAAAAGCTGGGGAATTAATATGATCCTCCTCCTGCCCCCAAGCCTCTCCTCTCTCCCTCACCCACTTCAGTTGGACGTTTATTGTGGAAACAAGGAGATAAAGTGAGCCTGGATACCAGACGGGAGGGGGAATAGGCTTACTTGCGTGTATCAACCTAACATTTGGGAAGCTCAGCTCCAAACAAGTCTGTTTGAATTCGTCTAGTAGTCCTTCCTTCAGAGGCGGTAAACAAGATGGAACGCTTCACCAAGGGGTGGGGAAGGAAGAAGGAATTCCACGGAATAAAAAAATGTTTAGGTTAGGGGAACAGGCAAGGCTAGAACCGTGATAGGCTACTTTTCTACCTGCAGAGATGCCACCCCCCCTAAGATGGTGGACTGAACTGAAGTCAACTGGCGATAGCTCAGCTAAAGTCTTTAGGAATAGTAGGCCAATATATATATAAGATTTAGAGGGGTGGAGGGTGTATATTCCAGGCCAGACAGAAGGCTGGCAAGGTAAGTGTGCTTGTGTGTGTGTATTTGTGTATGTGTGTGTGTACACGCGCGCGCTTGGAATTAGTATTTTATTTGCATTGAGCTGTGCCTCCAAAACGAGAGGGGTTCAGCTCCAAGGGGTGCGCCCTGGACCTCCCAGGACAGGAGAAGGGGAACCTGGCTGAGCAACGGCTCCATCGTATTTGCTCTCCGACTGACCCTCTCCCTTCTTTCCGGCCCCCAGATCTGTGTCCCAGCGAGGGGGAAAGCGACACGGAAAGCAAAGACGACCCCTCGGAGGCCAACGACTCCTCCGGGAAGATCTCCACCACCACGGCTGCGATTGCCACCAACAGTAGCTCCTCGGGCTCCGGAGGAGGAGGAGACCCACGGGAGAAGAGCAGCCCCTCCAAAGTGACCCTCTTCCCCCCGGACTCGGCAGGCGGCAGAGGCAGCCGGGAGAGCGCCCCCAAGGCTCCCGCAGACTCAGCTCGCCACAGCCCGGCCACCATCTCCTCCAGCACCCGGGGCCTCGGCGGGGAGGAGGTGAAAAGCCCCTCGAGGGAGGACTGCAGGGGCCTGGCCAAAGAGCCCTTCGCCCCGCTGACGGTCCAGACGGACAGCGCTGCCCACCTCGCCCACCAGGGCCACTTGTCCAACCTGGCGTTCTCCCATGGCCTGGCCGGGGGGCAGCAGTTCTTCAACCCGCTGAGCAACGGGCACCCTCTGCTCCTCCACCCCAGCCAGTTCGCCATGGGCGGCGCCTTCTCCAGCATGGCCGGGATGGGCCCCCTGCTGGCTACAGTCTCCGGGGCCTCGGCAGGAGTTACCGGGCTGGACAATACGGTGATGGCCACGGCGGCGGCTCAGGGATTATCCGGAGCGTCAGCGGCGGCTGCAGCGGCGGCGGCGGCTTTACCTTTTCATCTGCAACAGCACGTCCTGGCCTCGCAGGTAAATTATTGCGGTGGATGTGTAGAATTTTTTTTTTTCCGCCCGGGTGTGAGTTCTCCCCTCACTAAGGCAGAAGCTATTTGGGAATCTATTGAGGCAGATCATTACCCGGGAGTTCCCCTTTCTCCCCGTCCCCGCCCCCATTCTTTATCTTGTCCATTGGAGCCAAGTCCTAGGGGCCGAGGGGTCTTAACCCCCCAATAAAATATTTGAGGGGGCCTCCCGAAAGTTGATAGGCATTGTCATTCAAATGGGGTCCGTGCGCGGCGCCATGTGATCTATTATGCAGGGCAGGGCTTACTTGCCCCCTCCATGGGCGTAGCCAGGATTTTTTTTTTTGAGGGGGGGGGTTATGTTCGGGGGCAGAACCAAATTATCAGCGACACAATTGGTCAGTTAGTTAAGTATTATTATTTTTTACTTACTTGATTGGGGGGGGCAACTGCCCCCCCCTCAGCCCATGGCTACTCCTATGCTCCCCCCCCCCCGTATTTTATTCAAGTTGGCACCCCCGTCTTGTTCCAACAACAATCCTCTAATGGATTTCAGGCGAAGGGTCGTAGCTGAGCGGTAGAGCATCGGGTTTGCATGCGCAAGACTTTAGGTTCCATTCCTGCATCTCCGGGTAGCGCTGCCTGAACTCTTGAAACCGCTGCCAATTAGGGTAGGTAGTCTTGATGTAGGTGCCCCAATGGTCTAACTAAGGAGGCCTGCATTTCTCAGTGGCAGAGCGTCAGCAGAAAGTCCTGGGTTCAATTCCTAGTTTGTGAAGGTAGGGCCAGGAAGTATACCCCGCCCGAAGTTCTGGAGAGCAGCTGCCAGTCAGTGTAGACAATAGGGAGCTAGATGGACTAAGGGTCTGGCTCTGTGTAAGACAACTCCCTGTGTTCCATTTCTCCTGCGATGGTGGTCCTAAGGAGTGAGCTAGAGGAAGATTATTGTGTGTGTGTCTGTTTTAGTATAGACTCTTCGGTGACATGTTTAAAAGAGTTCAGATGGATTCTTTATTCGCAGAAGAGAGAAAAGTATGCAAGCATGCCCTGTCACTCCCACCTTCCCACTCACCGCTAAAATCATATAGACCGGAGCCATTTCAGATCAGACTTTTTAAAGCTTTCAAATTCTGCGCGCCTGCGCGCGTTCCTGGGGTTTCTTTTTAAGGGCATTATTATTATTATTTCCCTCTTTTAAAATAACCTCTAAGGAACTCCGGGCAGTCTAGGTGGGTTATTCTGTTCCATCCTCTCAACAACCTTGTGAGGAAGGGGACAGAGGGAGAGAGCTGCAAGTTCAGCCCGTTAATATTAAGACCGAAAGAGGGGATTTGAGTGCAGCTCTGCTCTGGCAAAGGCCGGTATCAGAGGGAAAGCGAGGTGCTTCGTTTACTAACTAAATATAATTTCAACACTCTCACGTGCACACAAACGCCCTAGCTCTCTCCCCAACACAAACGCGCTCGCTCTCATACACACTTAAACTGAAGCTCAACAGGCGTTCGTCAGGATGAGGGAAAGGGAATCGACGACAGAACATCCACCTATACAAGGGTTCTCTGGAGCTCTTGAATAGGACAGGCCATCCTCCATAGCTCGCTCCGACCACATTTTACAAGCTAAAGAGTTTTTGACTCGCTTGAAAGCGATGCCAACATTTCCTTTCCCAAAAGGGGTTTTGTCCGAGAGTGAGGGAGGGAGAGCGCAGAGGCTTTTCTATCTCTCTCCCCCCCCCCCCCGCGCCGTCTCTTTCCTCTCGAGGTGTTGACTCCCGCGGTTGGAATGGCAGCTGAGGGTGCTCAGCACCTTGAGAAGACAGATGATTGAAAAGGGATATTTTAAATAAATGGAGCTCCAGCTTGGCTCCGGGCCCTCGCGCTTCGAACTGCTGGTCCCGGCGCCAGGGAATGAAACGGCGCTTGGCTGAGAACCACGTCTCGGAGGCTCTCCGGGGCTGGTTACTGCGTTTCCCCACGTGCATGGCGGCGTGGGGGGGGGGAGGGAGGGGACACACAAACACACACACACCCCTTGGTTCCTAACAGAACCTCGCTTTCCGTCTTCGCCTAGGTTGGTATTTGTTATGTGTTTGGGTGCATGTGTTTTCTTGCCTGTTTTCTTGCGCCAACGTGTATATACCTTTAACTGTGCCAATTACTGACCCGGCCGCTGCTTCTCTTGCAGGGCTTGGCTATGTCCCCCTTCGGAAGCCTTTTCCCTTACCCGTACACCTACATGGCAGCCGCGGCTGCCGCCTCGACCGCAGCAACCAGCTCCGTCCACCGCCACCCGTTCCTCAGCGCGGTGCGCCCTCGCCTGCGCTACAGCCCTTACTCCATCCCGGTGCCCTTACCGGACAGCAGCAGCCTTCTCACCACAGCCCTGCCCTCCATGGTCGGCGGGGCGGAAGGCAAAGCGGGCGCCTTGGCATCCAGCCCGGCCTCGGGAGCCTTGGACTCCGGCTCCGAGCTGAACAGCCGCTCTTCCACCCTCTCCTCCGGCTCGGCCGTCTCGCTGTCGCCCAAGGTCGACAAGGAAGCCACCAGCGAGCTGCAGAACATCCAGCGTCTAGTGAGTGGCTTGGAATCGAAAGGCGACAGAGCCCGGAGTGGGTCGCCCTAGAGGTGGGGAGAGGAGGAAGGTCCCCTCGCAGAAAAACTTCTCCATCCCCCCACAGTCTCTGGGCTAGGGACCCTTCTTTTCCCTTCCCTCCCCCCATTTCTCTGGCCTCCTGCTAGAACTCGCCACTGCCGCTCCCACCTCTGAGTGGGACTGACCAGGCAAGGTTTTGTCCTGGAGGTTGCAGGGGGCGGGCGGGGAGCGGGGAGCCTGGAGGCCGCTAACCGGACAGAGGGGGGAGAGAGAGGTCGCTCTTGGAAGCTGCTATTGTGAACCAGACTGTGGTGTCCACTGGAGGGGCGGTGGTGCGCACGTGGGGTCAGCGGATCCTGGGGAGAGGTGACCCCCATGGCCTCCCTCCCTTGTTTGTTTCTACCCCTGTCGACACACAACAAACGGAGATGAAAGGAGAAGACACCGAGGAGTGATCCCCGGTGTGTCCCGCCCCCCCTTGCTCCCCTTCAAACGGAGAAATGACTTTTTGCATATCAGTTCAAGCCTGACCACGGCCCATGTCAATCTTTGTTAAAAGAGGGGCGTGTCCCTTTAATACTCGAGTGACGTCTGTCAGCCTCTGTAAGGCTCTGTTTGCATGTTCCATTCTAAGCCTCATTATTTTGGAGTTTTTTTTTAATTAAAAAAAATTGCTTGCTTAAGTTCCAAGGGACTTTTTTTTTTAACCCTCCCCCTCCCCCAAGTTTATTCTCCACTTCTTCCCTTAGGAACAATTTAAAATGTAGTTGGAAAGATGATAATTTTTTTAAAGGGCCGTAATTTCCTTGAAGCGGTTCCCCACTCCCTCTCCCCCCACCTTTTACTGTATATGCAATAACAAGGTTTATAAACATAATAAGGAAGAAAAAAGAAAGGAAGAAAGAAGTGGACACTATGGATAAAGTATTTATGTAATTGATGGATAACTTGTAAATAAGTGGCATATGAGTACTCGAAATTAAAAAATTAATTTATTGATATTGTACATATGTCTGTAAATAAGGCCTGACGCTGTCTTCTTTTATCGTTTTCTTTTTCTCTCCAGTTGCTTTCATTTAAAATAAAATTAAATAAAATCCCTTGAAGAGAATTTAAAACGTATTAAGATAGCAGGAGTCCCTCAGCGAAATATATATATAATGTTTACATTTGTCATATTTTATTTGGATTCATTATGTCACCGGGGACATAATTTTGGTTATTTATTTACCGGGGATAGAATGCAAACGGCAAAAATAAAATAAATTTTAGGGCTGAATCCACCGGGAGAGGGAGGGGAAGGAAAGATTCTACAGTTGTGAGACTGCTGGGCTCTCTCTTCCTTCTAAAACTGGAAGCGCCGTCTGTAGAAATGGTTGAATAAGTACGTTAATTAATCACCAAAGCACTTCTGAGGCGGGTTCGTAAAAAGAGATAGCGGGAGGACTGGAATTCTTGCCCAATTTAAAAAGCAAATATCTCGATCGATTCCTCCCTCTCTTCCTCAGTACGAGATCTATTCCAAACGAGTTTTTATTTTTCTCGTGCTAAATGTTGCCTTTGCTTCGAGGGAGTCCACATCGCCATGCTATGGCTACAAAGTCTGGTTCGAAGAGCTAGGCAAACGAATATATATAGAAAAGTTCTTAAGGATTTCCTCCCCAGTAATTCCCCCCTCCCTTCTATAAGGAAACAGAGCCTCTTAAAATCACTCGAATATCAATTTTGTGTGTGTGTTGAAATCCTTAGGCCTCCGGTTATATGCCGGGGGAGTTTTGGTTTGGTTTATAAATAACTTAGCGATTTCTTTCAGGGCATTTCTTGACTCAGAATGGCAAAAGTCCGAGAATGAAAGCTCTGTAGGATTCCCGCCCTCCACCCCTTTACTGGGGAAATTATATATATATATATATATATATATATATATATATATATATATATATATATATATATATAAAAACTCCCGAGGAAAGTGTCTTTCTCGCTTAAAAAAAAAAGTTTGGACAGCTTTTAAAATTAATAATAATTTGAAAGTTGAATTACTTCCCAGTTAAGATTGTAAATACTCTTACTTGAGAGGCGCAAATTTTCTTCAAAAGAACCCGACGTCCAGCCTAGTCCTATATTCCGATCGTAGGGCTGCAATCCTATATTACATACTTGCCCGGGAGTAAGTCCCATTGAGTTCAATGGGCCTTCTTTCAGAGTAGACCCGTATGTGCGGCTGAACCTTGGAAACTGCAGAGGATGATATGAGTCTCTTCATCCCCGCGTTGGAAAATAAATATAGTTGGGACTGAAAAGTCAAGTGCCTCTTCTTGTTTAATTGTTTGGTCTAAAAGTCTTGTAGAATAAATAGAGAAGAGCTGGGGTGTGTGAGAGAAAGGGAGAAACATCGTTAAAATTGGAACAGTAAGTTTATCTAAATAAATAAATAAATGGGAGTCTAGGAGGGAAGGGCGGGGAATCAACAAAACTTCAAACTTTTTCCCCGGGTATCCAAATCGCCTGTATTTATGATTTGGGGCAATGTTTATAGAACGCCAAAGAGCCGCCAATGGAAGCAGCGAAGTCGTGGTTCAGTCGCTGATTCAGTTCTAAGCGACCCTCGCGAAGCCTTTGAAGGTCAGCTTGTGAATGGACGGGCAGATAAGACCGCTCAAGACCGCCGCTCTGTGAGCTCGCCAGCCCCTCAGCAGCCCGCCTTGATAAATTGTTGTTTTTAAGACGAGCCCGGAGAGTCTCTCCACGCCGTCGCCCGTGCGTTTCAACGTGAGCCAGCTGTAAATATTATAAAAGTTCACTTCCACTCTCTATCCTGTTACGTCGCCTCCACTCCCCCATCCTTTCCCCAGCCCTCTCGGAATTGTGTCACTTGGAGATAAACACCAGCCCGGTTGGTGAAAGTTGAATATATACAGCAGGATCTGCATTAACGGCCCTCTCGCTCTCAGCTCCACCGCCCCCCAGTCTCCGAATGGATGTGTTTCCTCCCCAAATCATTTATAGCACTTGATTTTTTGGCTCTGGAGTTTTGAAGAGTGGAGTGTGTGTGGAGAGGTATTGATCGTTGTCCCTAACTAATAATAATAATAATAATAATAATAATAATAATAATATAAAGTTCGAGGTTTATGTACCTCGCTTTTTGATCACATCCTCGGTCCCTTCGGGAGTTTCAGGGAGGGAGCATGTAAGCGACTGGATCTCGACGGGAGAGCCTCGGCTAGGCAAATATTTGTTTCTTTCTAACTCCTGGGGGATCTGTGCCCCTGTCCTTTGCTGTTGGGATTAATTCCCTGAAGAAGATGGCGAATGGAGATCGTCGAAAGCTGTAACCCAATGCACAATTACCTGGGAATCAGCCCCAACGGAACAGAGGTGGGATTAGCTATCAAGTAAACATACATGAGATGTCTATAGTGTATACAGTGAGCAACAACCGACAGAACAGCCTTGCGGGCAACAACCGACAGAACATTTCCTATGGCAAAAGCTGCTGGGGACAACAGACCGCTTTCTCAGATGCGTGAGGGGTATGGGTTGTAAGGTCGCCTAGTTTGCGCGCTTACTTCCAAGTAAACATGCATGGATAGGCGCGCTCAGTTTACGAATCCAGTTTCATTCTCATCTGAAGGCTGCAGTCCTCAACTCGCTTCCGAGGTAGTAGCAATCCCATTGAGAACAGCCAGTTACTCTTTTTTTAATAATGCTTTTAATATCCAGAAACCTCAACAAACTAAACCTCCGCAGCTACAGCCTTCTTTGGCGAGAAATTGACAAAGACCTCAATAAATGGAACAAAACGCAACTTCACCCTCTCACGCAAAATAGCCAGAGTTACTTTTGAATAAACCTGTTTTAGGAGCGCTGTACACACACACACACGTTTCTGATGCTGGTTCTATGCCTTCTGCACACACACGCACACATAAACGCGCAGCAGAGCTTCAGTCTCAGACACGGGAGAAGTGCATTAGGGTGCGTATCTAAAGCGCCCCCAAATTCTGTTCAAAGGGGGACTAGCGTCAGATTGCTGGGCGTTCTTTAAATGATGGGCGAATGGCGATAGATCTAGTGGAATATAGGCAGCTTGCGAAATCTTGGATCCGTCTGCTCCGCGTGAAGAAAGGTCGGAGATCAAACCAGAATGGATTCCATGAGACCAGTCGCCCCCCTTGGCGAAGGCACGACCATCCCTCTCTCCACGTCCATCAGCTCTCTTGACGTCTATCTCATTTATTTCAAGACTGCGAAACCGCCAGGAGCCGAGCTGGTATGTAGCTACCGCTCTCCTGGGTTCCTATGTCTGCTATTGACTAAGAGAGTCTCCAATTCCTTGATTTGGGAAGGGGACGAGAAAACTCCGAGAGGCACGTCGTGGTCATCCAAACTGTCTCTGGTCGTAAATCTCTCGCCTCGAAAAGCAAGTTCTTCCACCTCCTCCTGGGAAAAACACGGGGAAAGTTGCAAAACACCCTCACGCCACTGCGTTCTCGAAAGAACTCGGCCGCAAACTTAGGCGGTTCTTGCCGATAAATGGGTACAGCACGTGTCTGAACTAAAACTCACTTCTGTACTTTACTCGTGGGGCGCATGTGAAATAGGGGCTCGCCAAAAAATGAGATCTTTCGCAGAAGCCCGCAGAAGGCGGCTGTCTCTATGCCACCTTGCTATCAACAGAATTTCTGTTTTCCAAGTTGATGCTGGACCTATGGACCCGTGCCAACTTTCAGGGGGATTTGCGATCCTACCATATACAGTAACACAATAAAGCTGTTATTCTTTGCATACTTACCTGGAAGTGCACTTCCCATGAAACACAAGGGTTACTTCTGAGCAGACATGTACACGACGGCACTGTAAATCAATTTCTTTCTTTCTTTTTTCAAAGGCAAAAGCCTAAGCAAAGAACGTGAAAACAACCGAGTTCTTTAAAACCGAAGGTGCTGCGATTCTCCCTGAAATTAGGCAATCGCATTGCGACCTGATGGCATGTGCCACCTCTGAATATTTACTCGGAAGTAAAGCCCACTGATTCTGAGGTCAGACTGCAGGTCGCTGCATCTTTAAAACTGCCTGATTATTTGCGTGTGTGTAAGTGTAATCTCAGAAACACAACTTTTTTTTAAGAGGAGAAAAAGGAAACGAGTCTTGCGGCACCTTAGACACCAGATATTTACAGAAATTGAAAAAAGAGGCCACAAGACAAGACCTTCCAACAAAATCCTACTCAGAAGTCAGTGTTTAAGGAGCCTTCCTCTGCAGTAAGTGTGCACAGGCTTTGCTATATTTTTGTAGCAACACATTAACATGGCAGGTAGGTCTGGAAGGTATATCAGCGAGGTACATCATCAAAAGGCTGGCTTCCAGACCAAGCTCTCCTGAAGGGCTGGAACCAGCGTCAGCGTTCAGGTGAAACCTAATGTCTGCTTTCCCCATATGAAAACAAAACAACCGATTATCGTTATAATTATTGTCAAATCTCTTCGTGTAAGGCAGGGAGAAGTGGGGGAAGCTTCCAGTACAGGGTAGTTCTTCCCTGAGAACTGAAGCAGAGCAGTCTGGTGTAGTGGCTAGTCATTTGGACTAGGACGGAGGATCAGTGTGATCGAATCTCCGCTCAGCCACGAAGCTCACTGAGGACCGTAGTTCTAGTTACAGGTAGGTAGCCGTGTTGGTCTGCAGTTGTCGAAACAAAACAAAACAAAATAGAAATATTCCTTCCAGGAATATTCCAGAGACCAACTAAGTTAGTTATTGGTATGAGCTTTCGTGTGCATGCACCACGAGCGTAGCCAGGGGGGCAGCTGCCCCCCAATCAAGTACATAAATAAAAACACTTAACTGTCCAATTGTGTCGGTTCTGCCCCCTCCCCAAAACATAAAGCCTGCTACTCCCTAAAATAAATCCTGGCTAGGCCCATGCTGGGGATCTTTGACCAACCATCGTCTTTTCAGCCTAATCTACCTCACAGAGATGTTGTGGGAGGGGGTAGAGTTATTTAACGCCACATGGGAAAAAAGTGGGGAATTATTAAGTGAGTATATAAATACAGGTACAGCCCAGGCACGTTTTCGCCGCCTCAGTAAGATTTAGCCTCCT